GGTGGGTCCGGGCTGGGGATTCGAACCCGCCACCTTAGGTGTATGTGGCTGGTGCCTTAGCCGGTTGAGCTATAGGCGCCGAGCCAGCTATGGAAGTCTCAATATGGCTTATCAAGCCCTGCATGATTTTGTCCTTATTTCATCTTTCCAGCCTCAATACTGTTCCTTCCATTCTATCCTTCACTCCAGCATGGGACTTCTTTCTGTTCCCAAACTTGCTCTCTCTTACTTCCTGGATGATTTCTCTACCTAAAAAGTCCTCCTTCTCTCTCTGCTTCACCTAACTCCTACTCTTCCTTCAGATGATGTCATCTCTCTGGGAAGCCATCCCTATACCACCCCCCAATTCTAGGTTAGGCACTCCTTTCGTGTTACAACACCACCATCTGCTTACCCTAGGCAGAGCACTTAGCTGGAGGTAACAATTGTCTGTTTATTTGTCTACCTCTTCCACCCCAGACTGGGAGCTCCTTGAGAACAGGGACTCTGGATTAGTCCCCGTACCTAGCACCATAAATGAGTGAAGATAATCTTAAATCCAGAAGTGGATTTTGACATGAAAACAAGGGTAACTTGGAATGGAGTTGGTGGACAGTGCAGAAATAAGACATTTTCAAGCAGGTGCAGGGGTGGTCATAGCAGAATTTGATTTGCTATCTAAGGATATTGAATAGATTCGGGTAGGTCACTGGGCAAGGCCAGGGTAAGGAAACCACTGATAATGCAGATAATATAACCAGGCAACAGTTGATGATAGCCTGGACTAGGGGGTGGTCATGGAGATGGGGAGACCTAGACAGACTTAGAAGAGTTAGGAAGCAGGCTTCATAGACTTAGGGGGTAGTTGAAGAAAAGAAAGGTGTGTAGGATGAGGTGAAATCTAATTTGGGCGATAGGTGTGCTAATGGTGTCTTCTTCTGGGATGGGGAATCCGAGGATGAACATGAATACAGACTGAGAGGGAGGTGAGAGCTCTTTTGGGACACCCAGCAGGCAGCTGGACACTGAGAAGGAATGGATGGAGAGATAGGAGAAAACCCAGTGGGGTCAAGAGGAGTCACAAATACCAAGGTAGAGAGAGTCAGAAATGACTAGAGACAAAGAAGATTCTGCCAAGGCTCCGCCCTGAGGTGTCTCCCCCACTCCCACAGACACAGATGCACTGGAGTGGTTTCTCTTAACAGCAGCTTTACTTAATTCAAAAGTGAAACTCTGACCCTGGCCCACCCATTAGCCAGAGGATCATGGCTGGAGAGACTTGTGTGTGGTGGGGGTGTCACTGGATTTTTACCACTATAGGAAAAGGAGGAGGACACAAGTCACATCTGTGTCAGGGCATGGACATGCCCACCAACTGCTAGTCAGGTAGGGCTTGGTTGTAGGCCAGGAAAGGGGGGGATTGGTACCCCATCTTAGACACATGCAGAGGGAAGGGAGACTAATTCAGGATTGGTGTTAGGATTTGGGCTTAGAGCAGGCCCAGGGCAGGGTCAGGCATCTTCAGACCAAGGGATTCAGTAGCTGTGAGTAGACGACTTGTCCAGCTCACTGCGCTGCTCCTTCTGGGACTCCGTCACCACCTGCTGGGGCCGAGGCAAATGACAAGAATGGACCATTCAGCGCCGCTCTTCCAGCTTCTTTGCTTTTTTTTTTTTTTTTTTGAGACAAAGTCTCAAGCTGTCACCCTGGGTATAGTGCCATGGTGTCACAGCTCATAGCAACTTCAAACTCTCTGGCTCAATTGAGTCTCTTGCCTCAGCCTCCTGAGTAGCTGGGACTACAAGCGCCCGCCACAACACCCGGCTATTTTTTGGTTGCAGTTTGGCCGGGACGGCTTTGAACCCGCCATTCTCGGTATTTGGGGCTGGCACCCTACTCACTGAGCCAGAGGCGCCGCCCCTTCCAGCTTCTTTGGACTACGGTGCTGGCATAACCACCTGAGGCTCCAGTTTATCCATCCCCCTTCTGTTTCTTCTTGTCTCTCCCGAAGAACCACCCACCCACCACCCACCCACATCACGCTAAGATCACCCGCAGCCAGGCTGCAGCTCAGAAATAACATGGGAAATGATGGAGTCCTCGGATCAGAGGACCTGTCTTACCTCCCCGTCCCGGGTCTCAATTGTCTTGATCAGAACCATCTTCCGGCTGTGGCTGTCTTGGGAAGGCTCCACCTCAGGCACTGGAGAGAACAGGACAAGGGGTGGGAGTGGAAAGCCTTGGGATTTCTCTCCTTTTATGCTCCCACTCTCATCCTCAAGGGCAGAAGTGGGGCGGGGCTTGAGGGGTGGGTAGGGGCAGGCATAGGTCAGGATTGGGCGGTCTCATGAAGAAAACAGATCCCTGAAAGAGCCAGACCAAAAGTCCGATCAGCGCAGAAGTGCACGAGTAAAAACCCGACGTGGAAGACTCACCAGTGGTCTTTATATTCAAGGAGGCAAAGGAATGGACAGGCACCGAGATCCTGCAGGTAATGTGCGTGGTCAGCGCCCCTGGGCAGGCCACGCCCCTCTCCTGCGTCTAGTCCCAACCTCTTCCTGCCACGCCACGCCCCGGCCTCAGCCCCTTACCGGCTCTCCTCGCCCTCCAGCAGCTTGCGGTAGGTGGCGATCTCGATGTCTAGGGCCATTTTGACGTTTAGGAGCTCCTGGTACTCACGCAAGTGCCGCGCCATCTCTTCCTTTAGCTGCCGCAGCTCCTCCTCGAGCCGCGCGGCTCCCGCCTGGTACCCGCCCGCCTCCAGGGCGAACTGCTCCTCCAGCTCCCGCAGCTGTCTGAGCAGCGCTTCGTTCTAGGGCGGGAGCGAAGGGGAGCCAGTCAAGGGACCCTTCGTCGTCCGCCCCCTGGGCTTGGGCGCGCAGCTCCGTACTCACCGTGCCGCGAAGCCCATCCACCTCGCACGTCAGACTCTGGATCTGGCGTCGGGACTCGTTCATCTCCAGCTTGGCCTGGCGCAGGGCCTCGTGGTTCCGATTGGCGGCATCGGATAAGTCCGCGTACTGCGAAGGAAGGGCGGGGCGACCTGGGCTTGAGCCGGCCAGGACGCGCCGCACCAACTCAGCACTTCCCTCCTAGACCCTCCCGGGCTCTCCCACCTTGGACTTATACCACTCCTCCGCCTCCTGCAGGTTCTTCGCCGCAATACTTTCGTACTGTGCTCGGATGTCCCTCAGGGCTGCTGTCAGCTCTGGCTTCACAGTTGCTTCCACCTCCACCTGCTGCACCTGCTGGCTCTCCACGCTCATCTGCAGGTCTCGAAGCTCCTACGGCCCAGGACAGGCAGTGGACGACCCGACAGCGCAAATCCCAAGCCGGGCCACGCAGTTAGAGCACATAGAAGAGAAGAAATACTTGAATGAACAGAAGGGGGTACCAGGGAGTGCAGCGACCCCAGGAAGACTCTCCCTGCGGTCTGGTGGCTCTAATGCAGCTGCCAGGTCACAAGGGTCCAGCCCTGCTTTCTGCCACCAGGTGGCGCAAGGGCGGGAGTCAGACCACCTGTGAAGGGGTTGAGTGACAATCTACCCCGCCAATCTCACTTCTTATCCTCAGGCAGATTCTGCCATTCCACTCGTCAGCCTCCTTCAGAGCTTCCTCTACGCAACTCCAGCGAGACCACCCCCTCTAACTTTCGAAGCCACCCTTGACACCTGGGTCCACCCACCTCCTCGTGCAGCTTCTTGAGAAACTCAATCTCATCCATCAAAGACTCAATCTTGCGCTCTAGTTCCAGGCGGGACAGGGTGGCATCGTCCACGTCCTTTGCGGGGTGGCAGTGGGGTTCAAGAGAAGGGAGGGACTGGTTAGGCTAAGGAAGGGTCAGGTCTTCCCGGCCTGCTTCTGGAGAGGTCTGGTTGCCCCAACCCTTACACACCCACCGATGCCAGTCCTGGATACTCAGGTTGCGGGTAGGGATGAGGAGGCGGAACTGTAACAGGAACCCCAGCTCACCTTGCGGAAGAGCACGAGGTTGTGCTCCGCATCCTCCCTCTTGCGCATCTCCTCCTCCAACCTGAGCGGAAGGAGGCGCAGAGACAGTTGCAGGATTAAGGCCCTCAGCTCTCACCCCAGACAGCGCCCCCCAGCTTCAGGGTTAGATGCTGCTGCTGCCCAGGACTCTGCGGGGAAAGCTTCAGGCTGCCTGATTTAATGGATCCCACTTTCTCACTAAAGGGCTGGGAGCTGACAAGGTCTCCTTAGTACACTGGGGAGGCATAGATACTCCTCCCACACCTCTTCAGACTCTCAGAGCCAAGTGAGGGTTTGGAGCCCACGGGCGAAAATGCTGCCTATACACATTGGGTTGGTAAGGGGAGCCACGCCCTTGGGCTGCTGATTGGGAAGGAATGAGGGAGAGGAGCAGCCGCTCGACGGCCACCGCCCAGTCCTGCCCCCTGACCTCTGCTTAAGAGCTGCCAAGTCCTCCGCCAGCCCGTCGCGCTCCACCTGCACCCGGTCGCGCTCGCGTCCCAGTAGCTCTAGCTCTCGCCGCAGCTCGCGCAGCTCCTGCTGGCACAGCTGGTCCGCGCGCGCCGGCTCCTGGCCCCGGGCCTGACTAAGCTCCCCACGCAGGGCCGCGTTCTGCTGTTCCAGGAAGCGCACCTTCTCAATGAAGTTGGCGAAGCGATCGTTAAGCTCCTGCAGCTCCTGCTTCTCGTTGCTGCGTGTGGCCAGGAACTCCTGGTTGAGGGCCTCAGCCATGGAGAAGTCGAGGCGCTCCGAAGGCAGGCGCAGAAGGGCGCCGGCACCTGCCCGGGGACCTCGGAAGCTGCCCAGGCGTACGGAGTAGCTCGGGGACGCTGAGCCCAGCAGGCGGCTGCTGGAGAAGCGAGAGCTGGACGAGTAGGAGAAGGCCCCGGGGGATAGTGAGGGCGGTGGCCCGAAGGTGCGGCGGTATGAGGTGGAGCTGACGCCGGCCCGGAGGCCCGACGGGTGGTGGCTCATGGCGGCCGAAGATGGGCAGTTACCGTTCGCAGCTAGGCCGGGGGCTGGGAAGAGCCTCAGACCGCTACCAGGCAGCTTTATAGCCTTGCGGTCTCAGGGGGGGCATGGGCAGCTCCTCCCACTGGCCTGACAGCCCGGGAGAGCGGGGCTGTGTGGGGAGGGGGATGCCCCACCCCTGCGGAACAGCACCCTCTGGTTGCTGGTGCTCTGCCTACTTGGTTCCCCCTGTTGCTGGCAGGGAAGGAAGCAGGGATGACAACCATATTCAGGCCAGGGTCAGCACCTTCCAGCAAGCATCGGAAGCTGGAGTTTAGGGTGGGAGGGCCTGACTCCATCTGGGGTACCTGTCTGAAAGAGCTGGTAAAAATTAGAGGACAGGAAGTCCTAAGGTTAAAGTGCAGACTTCTGGCACATGAGTCAGGAGAAGGCCAGGTGGATAGAGTTGGCCTGGCTTAGGCCCCAGAGCTTATGCCCCAACCTGTCTCCTAAATGCTGGGCTGTACTTTCACTTGCTGTCAACTACTCACTCCTTCACCATGCCTAGAGTGAATTGGGGGACAGGAGAGCAGAGGTAGAGGGGCTAAGGAAGGCTGGTCACTACCAAATCCCCAGGGCCAGGGGGAAGGATTGGTGTCTGGCGCCAGCTATGCGGCTAATGGACTGACCAACCCCCTCCCCCTCTCCTGAACACTTGGCCCAGCAGAGGTTGCCTGCTGATGTTTCAGCCTTAAAGACACAGTCCCCAAACCTGGACTACCCCAACAGGGTGGGAACATCATAGGTGGGAACATCTGGATCCCACTGGAGAGTGTCTGTGCCATGCCAGAAGCCAGCTGAATAGCCGCTGTATGCTGTCTGGGTTTACTGGATTCCCCCTGCCCCCCACTGACTGCTCAATCACGGGCCTTCCCGGAATGAGAGTGATTCTTGAGGTAGGGAGGGGAGGGGGCTGAGGGCCAACAGCTGCTGCCAAGGTTGAAAGATGGATGGACCGGCAGGCACCGGTTTCCAGTATGGAGGAGTTGCAGGTACCCAGGGATGGGTGGGGCTGGTTGAGAAGAGGTAGGAAAAGAGAAGGCACCCATCCCCAAGGGCAGAAAGAAGAGAGAGAAGGCTCCAGAACAGACCCACAAACGTGCACACAGGTGCATACACATAATCCCATGTACCTATATGAACTGTCATTATACACAGAAACACACAAACACAAGGCCACACATCCCTTCATACCTCCCCCACCCTAGAGTTAGTGAAAAGGCTGATTCTGGCCTTTGTATGTCAGCACTGGCTGCCCAGGGTGGACAGGCAGGCCCAGGTGGACAGGCAGCAAGAACAGTCTGCAGGAGCCAGGATACTGAGGCCTGTTGGGTCTGCCAGGAGCCCTGGGGCTGTTGCTGTGGCCAGGGACTCTAGACCTCTCCTGTAGGATGGATCTGCCTCAAATTGAACCTGAGGATGAGAGCTGTGTGTCTGAGGAAGTAGGTTTGGAGCTCCAGGCTGGATCTCTGTCTGGGGATGAGGAGGGCGGCTCCCTGGCTGGCCAGTTCATCCGTATTGCAGGGCAGAGGACCCCTCCCCCCACTGTGTATCCTCTGAGATGGGTCAGAGCCAACGCCCGCCTGCTCACATCCCTACCCGCCTTCCTTTCCTCTCTAGGCCCCTCCTTCCTTCTGGGCCATTAGTCTCTCCCTGCACAGCTGCCAGGTCCTTCTCCTTGATTGGGTCTGGTTTGGTTGTCAGGGGAATGAAAAAAGGGAGGATGGGAGAGAGGGAACGGATGGATAAACCAAGGCCTGTCCCCTCCTTCCCCTTTCTGAGAGTGGGAAGGGGTAGGGTTCTACCTGGGATGGAAATGGAGGGGAGGGGGGCTTGGCAGGATTGAGGAAGGGACTAGGGAAAGCTTAGTGCTTTCTGCCGCAGCCCCAGAGGCTGTTGGTCTGAAGCCTTATCCCAGCCTTGCCCCCCACCCAGGAGCAAACTGGGAGCTTGCACTGCTAAGGAAGGTAGGTAGGGCATGGGGAGGACAACTCAGTGTCTGTATAGAGAGATGGTGATAGCCTGGGCCTTTGCCTGTAGAAGTGGCTGGGCCTGGGGAGTTCCCGATGGAGTTGCCATCCCCTCCCTTGCCTAAGCGGCATCTCACCACCCAGATGTCTCAAGGGAGAGGGGCTCTGGGAGGTATGGGGTGAGCAAAGCTGGACCCTGCTGGAGAGGAAGCTCCTCCCAACTCAGCAAGAGCAGGCCTGGGAGATCTTGGGACAGGAAAAAAGGTAAGAAAAGAGTTTCAGTTAGGAGATGGGGCTCTGGCATCCAGCTGCCATGGCTTCATCTGATCCTACCACTCTCTATTGTAGGAATTAAGGCTCATTGTTATGGCCCTCTGTGAAATGGGGATTCTACCTTACAAAGCTGTTGTGAGGACTAAATGAATAAATACATGTAAAATGTTTAGGATGCACACAGTAAAGGCTGAAAATATAAGCTAGTTGTATTACTACTATTATTATTAAACTCCCTTGTGATATTATCATCCCACGAGGGTCTGGGTTTGTCTCTTTTGGATTGTTCTCACTAGTGGCTGGGAGCAGTGCTGGATGCAAAGTGGAAGGAACCCAAATACTTTCTGACTGATGGGTAGACGGGAAGGTGGCCTCATCCTTTGTGTACAGAGACTCTAGATGGACTGCTTGGGTTCAATCATTGCCTCTCAATTTAATTAGCTGTGTGCTTTGGGTTTTAGTAAATGATTTAACCTCTGTTCACTCCATTTTCTTTATCCATCAATGGGAATGATAATACTATTACCTAGCTCACAGCATGGGGAGGATTAAGTGAGTTACAATATGTGAAGTATGGCTCGGCGCCTATGGTTCAACCGGCTAAGGCGCCAGCCACATATACCTGAGCTGGCAGGTTTGAATCCAGCCCGGCCTGCCAAACGACGGCTGCAACCAAAAAATAGCTGGGCATTGTGGCGGGTGCCTGTAGTCCCAGCTACTTGGGAGGCGGAGGCAGGAGAATCGCTTGAGCCCAGGAGATGGAG